ATAAATTACATCCGAAATTATGATCTATTTCAGAAAAACACGTTTATTTTGGTTATCATTGTCTGTGTGATTTACACTAATCAACAAATCATATTCTTTTAAAGTTAAAACCCTTGAATAGGTTCCAATATAAGCAAATATTTTCATTGAAATGTTTAATAGACAAAGAATTCTTATTGAAGTAGGCTGGAAAAATCGGCAATTAAGTTGGACTTCCGGTTTCAAACTTTTCGCAACTTTATAGAAATTAAATAGAATCTATTATGCGTCTGCTGTGACTGACACTAGTGACCCAACGGCTAATTATTTACTAGTAAGATGAATTTATCTTTCCGTTTTGAATCATAGCCTAAAACATGTTATTTTATTAATTATTTTTAGTGAATTTAGAGACATCAGGTCACTGAAATTTTGAGTAGCCCGACGGGATACCCAGCTTGGAAACTTGGGTAGTCCTTGGTGAAAATTGGTAGCCTCGGGCTAACGGACCATCGTTAGTGTCGAGCCCTGATTACTGTCACTGTTGTGAGAATTATTTCCCCTTTTTCATGTTTATATTTCACATAATTTTTTAAGTCCTTAAAAAATATGTTGCAATGTAAATTTAGCTATAAATTATTAAATAATGTGTCCAACATCTTCATTTTGCTCAAAATTATTGCACCAGTACCTTTATTCTATATGAGGCGTAACATTTTGACAGTACGAAAAGAACGACAGTTAAGTAATAGAAAGAGCATCGAAACACAAGGCTATCTAATTTGTACGAGGGGGCGTAGCCCCCGAGTATTAATAAGATTGCGGAGTGTTGTCACAATATGAAACCCCAGAAAAAAGTAACCAATGAACAAGCATCTGAATATGATATTTCTAACGCTTTCCCTTTCTCTACGGTCACAATAAGTAAACCCCAGCAACAATGAGCTAATGAACGGGCATGCTCTGGAGTGCGGGTAACTAATACCTGCACTCCAGTTAACGCACTGTGCATGTATATGTATAAGATTTAACGCTGACACATTTTCAACAGAAAGGTCCCCCAAACTATGATACAAGTGGGTCAAACTCTTCACGCTTAATTAATTCTAAAAAGGCCAAATTATATCCAATATTTCCATAACATTCAGTTTATTTTTAAAAAAAGAACAAAATTTGGGAATTCCTAACCAAAGCGATAAAATCTAATTTTTGAAAATTTAAATAAAAATGAACATTAGAAATTTAAAAGCAAATTTTAAACATTTTTTTAAAAAGGGTTAGTTTTGGGAAATTTTGCCCCAGTAAAAACACCCAAAATATAATAATGTTTTTCAACTTTTTTCACACAAATTTTAAATGACTTACCCCACAACATTCTTTCATCAGTTTAAAAAAAATTTTAAAAAAATTTTGGGTTTTACAAACCATTTTAATAAAGCCAACATTGGGCTGCTGGGAAAAGAAAAGGGACATTTTTTTTAAAAAAAACATGTATTGATGGGGAAAAGCAAAGGGTTTTTTTAGAAAATTTTTATTGGGGCCTTTTAAAATAACTTGTTTTTGTTTTTAAAAGAATTACTAAAAAAGCAAATGTGCCCAAAAGATTTTTAACCCTTTACCACATATTATGATATATACGCGAAACAACGCACTTTCGACCCCCCCCCCCTTTTTAGGCCTCAAATAGTGAAAAAATGTCCTATTTGGGCCCCAAACATAAGTTTTCGTTTGAGAAATGTTGCTAAAAAAATTGAGCACTTTTTCGGCGCCGCCCCACATCCAAAAGATACATCAGGGGGTTGCCAGAAGGGGGATGTGCCCCCTTCTGTTAGGGGGGTATGAAGGGGGGCAGAGTCCCCCTCATCGCCAAGAAAATTTTGGACTTGTGAGAGGCTAAAAATGACCCCAGGTCGACCAACGCTGAAAAGCCTTTGACTCTATCTCAATCCCTTGAGCAGTTGCAGTACTTTGAAATAAATTTTGATGGAAAAAAATCGAGGCAAAATAGTGATTTTTGTCAATTTTGAGATGTCCCCTCGTTGCCATGGTAACAGGAAATTTAAGACTGAGCATGTCTTTACAAAGGCAATGGTCCAGTCAACATTTGTGCCAAGTTTGATTAGTATTGAAGCATTTTTCATAGTTTCATAGCAGTTTGAACTTGTAACAGGAGGCTTTTCAGTGAAAACGGCCATTTTTCACAATATGCTCATGGGGGAAAGGGTTAAGATAGCATAACCCAATATATAGATACAGACATTTTTATACCCTAAAATTGCCCAACTTTACCTGTAATGTTTTTGTTTTTAGAATTAAAACCACTGTTATGTTTTAATTTATCACTTAAATTTTTTTACATGCACATAGAAAATTTAATTACCTGTCCGGTGATTATTAGTACTGATATATTACAATTGGTGTATGTTATTTTAAGTTGTAACAATAAATTTATAAAGTTTATAAGGCATTGATATTAAATCTAACTAGTATACATGATACTGATATGTTGGAAAGGCAAATCTGTGTATGCCATAAGTTAACTCTTTCAAAGGTACATTGAATATATGCAAGTATTCCCAATCAATACAGAAATGTTACTTTAACTTGTTTCTACAAAAGAATAAACCCTTAACCAACTGGCTAAAACTGATACTACCTATGAGACAATTTTACTTCTGTGCGGACTGATCATGGTTTTCACTGTTTGCTATTTAATGATTGTTGAGTTTCCCTTAATATTAAAAAAAATGGTTTTGCCAAGACTGTACCAGTAAAATGCACAAGTCCATACAATATTATTAGCTCATCTGTCACAAAGTGACAGGGTGAGCTTTTGTGATCGCTTTTCGTCCGGCGTCCGTCCGTCCGTAAACTTTTGCTTTAAATGACATCTGCTCATAAACCACTGAGCCAATTTCATCCAAACTTCACAGGAATGTTCCTTTGGTGGTCACCTTTAAAAATTGTTCAAAGAATTTAATTCCATGCAGAACTCTGGTTGCATGGCAACCGAAAGAAAAATCTTTAAATATCTTCTTTTAAACAACCCTAAGAGCTAGAGCTTAGATATTTGGCATGAAACATCTTCTAATGAGTGTCTACCAAGTTTGTTCAAATAAAAGCCCTGGGGTCAAAATTGGCCCCGCCCCAGGGGGTCATTGATTTTCCCTATATGCATATAGTAAAAACTTAAAAAATCTTCTTTTAAAGAACCCAAAGAGCTAGAGCTAGAGCTAAGATATTTGGCATGAAACATCTTCTACTGAGTGTCTACCAAGTTTGTTCAAATAAAATCCCTGGGGTCAAAATTGGCCCTGCCCCAGGGGTCATAGATTTTCCCTATATGCATATAGTAAAAACTTAAAAAATCTTCTTTTAAAGAACCCAAAGAGCTAGAGCTAAGATATTTGGCATGAAACATCTTCTAGTGAGTGTCTACCAAGTTTGTTTAAATAAAAGCACTGGGGTCAAAATTGGCCCGGCCCCAGGGGGGTCTATCAGTCTATGCGAAAGACTTCTGAGTTTTACTGGACAGTAGGTCCTGTAAACTGAAAATTTTTACTGGACCAAACATGATTTTACTGGACCGAAAAAAACCTGATTGGTATAGCATTTTGAGTCATTTGAGTGTTAGCAGTCAAAAAATTTGTGTACAAAAAGAAAATTGTATTATCAACGAAGTGAAGTTATCTTTTTTCACCATAATCAAAATGTAAACATAAATATTGTTATACATGTATTCAATGGATTTTGCTATTTAAACTTTAATTTCATACAGCAAAATGAGAGGGTAAATTTCAGCAAAAGTCTGGCATATGTAAACAGAATTATATATATCGGTAATTTAGTGAAGTTGACAGATTAATTGTTCAATGATTTTGGTACCTTCACAGTATAGTTTAATTTTTGTCAACATCTTGGACGATCTTTCATAGCTAAACACCAGTTGAGCACACATGTAATTTAACATTTCTCTAAGTCTGTGGATTAAAGACGTAAATTGTTCCAATTAATTCACTGACGCTTTCATCTGTGTAAACAAACTAATAGCGGTTGACCTTTTACATCTGGGCCGCTTATGTAATTTACATGGCCGCTTATTGACTTTTACTTGTACTAGTTGTCGGATATTTTTATCTTACGTTGTTACATTAAAGTTTGCATTATGAGAATGCATAACAGTTGACAAGCATTGCACGAGCTTATATTGTGTAATGACAACATTTTGATTTGTTTTGAATGTAGGTAAATGATCGGCCTTTGCAAAATGTTGAATGTAAGGTTTTTATAAATCCTTAATTTTTACCGGACCGAATTTTTACCGGACCGTCGGGCCGTCAAAACATATATTTTTATCGGACCTTCTGATTTTTACCGGTCAGGGCCGACGGTCCGACGGTCTTTCAGAAAGACTGGTCTATTGATTTTCCCTATATGCATTTAGTAAAAACTTAAAAAATCTTCTTTTAAAGAACTGTAAGAGGTAGAGCTTAGATATTTGGCATGAAACATCTTCTAGTAAATGTCTACCAAGTTTGTTCAAATAAAAGCCCTGGGGTCAAAATTGACCCCGCGCCAGGAGGTCATTGATTTTCCCTATATGCATATAGTAAAAACTTAAAAAATCTTTTTTTAAAGAACCCAAAGAGCTAGAGCTAAGATATTTAGCATGAAACATGTTCTAATAGGTGTCTACCAAGTATGTTCAAATAAAAGCCCTGGGGTCAAAACTGGCCCCGCCCCGGGGGGTCATTGATTTTCCTTATATGTGTATAGCAAAAACTTAAAGATCTTCTTTGAAAAAACCCAATGAGCTAGAACTTAGATGTTTAGCATGAAACATCTTCTTATGGGTGTCTACCAAGTCTGTTCAAATAAAAACCCTTGGGTAAAAATTGGCCCCGGGAGGGGGGGGGGGCTATATACAGGTGAGCGACCTCAGGGCCATCATGGCCCTCTTGTTCAGGGTGGTACAGGTTTTAGTATAACTTTTAAGTAATTTCCATTCTTTAATCATTCAGGCAGAAGTGATAACATTGTTGGAAATATGACAACCACAGCAAGCGAGATTACCGTGCAGAACCAGACCAGCGTTCATGATGTTGAAGCATTGGTTCAAGCCGCTGTCAGTGTTCTCACAAATGACATGCAGGTAAAGAATATGTAGAGACATATTGATATTTTATTGGTTATTCAATACTAAATTTATTGAACTTGTTGAAGTCTGGCATAATATGATTTTTAAACCTACACTCAATCAATAATCTCTGTATCACATATTTATATATCTGTGAATAATTTTGTTAAACCACCTAAGTACAGACATTCCGAAAAGTGCCGTTCCAACAGACCTGACCCTTAAAATTACGTTTGGACCGGTAACAACTTTAAGATTTTACATTCAACTTTTACATAAACGATCTTCAAGATAATATTTAGAATAAAAAACAACACAGTAAGTATCAGTATTACATATTATTTTTCGCCACTATAAGAAATGGATGTTTTACCCTATTTTGAAGGTGCAAAAGGCCAGGTCAAAAGTGTCCAAACCCTTCAAAAGCAGAAAATTCGGACTAGGGAAAACTGATTCTGTCCAGTGATTCTTCCAAGATTGCTGGACCGAATGTCAAGTAATGTCAAAATACTTTTGGAAATGTCTGTAAGTAGCGGCGTGGCTAAGAAGTTAGCATGTCAGACTAGTAAACCAAGGATTGCTGACTGTGTGGGTTCAAACCCCTTCAGGGGCAAGCATTTGTTTCCTTGAGCAGAAACTTTACATTTATTACTTTGTACTGGTTTGTTTCAGGAACTGATTCGAGAGTATTTCAATAGCTTATAGCTTCCAACACAATCAAACTAAAATAAATTTGTTTAAACTAAACAACCTTAGTAATGAGATCTTGACTAGAACAAACAAAATTATGGGACTGCTCAGACAGTCCCGACTAAATGAATGAAATATCTTATCTCTCATTAAATGATATTTCTAGATTGCCACACATGACCATGGTCATGTTGTACAAGATGCAGAACATGGCACCGTACAACTACTTGTTGACACATGTACCAGTAACAACATCCAGGAGAGACTGTATATGTGCACTGACTGTAACCTAGCATTTTATGGGGAGCAGGGTGAACAGGAATGGCACTGGCACCTTAAACAACATAAACCATTCAAATGTGACCTTTGTTCGGAAGCTTATGAAGATCGAGGTAAGAAATATGTTCAGTATTTGATTCATGTTTGTATGGTCTAAGTTTTTATTAGGATTTTTGTGCATTTGACCTCAGATATGTAAGGAAATTGTAAGGCAGAGCTCCAGATAATTTTTTTGGCAAAGGGGTTTTTACCCCTCAAAATTTAGAGTGAGGGGTAAAATGTAAAATCTGAAAAACTTAAGGGGTAAAATCTGTCAAAAAAGCATTTTGCATTTTTAGCTCACCTGTCACAAAGTGACAGGGTGAGCTTTTGTGATCGCTTTTCGTCCGGCGTCTGTCCGTCCGTCGTCCGTCCGTAAACTTTTGCTTTAAATGACATCTCCTCATAAACCACTGAGCCAATTTCATCCAAACTTCACAGGAATGTTCCTTTGGTGGTCACCTTTAAAAATTGTTCAAAGAATTTAATTCCATGCAGAACTCTGGTTGCCATGGCAACCGAAAGAAAAATCTTTAAATATCTTCTTTTAAACAACCCTAAGAGGTAGAGCTTAGATATTTGGCATGAAACATCTTCTAGTGAGTGTCTACCAAGTTTGTTCAAATAAAAGCCCTGGGGTCAAAATTGGCCCCGCCCCAGGGGGTCATTGATTTTCCCTATATGCATATAGTAAAAACTTAAAAAATCTTCTTTTAAAGAACCCAAAGAGCTAGAGCTAAGATATTTGGCATGAAACATCTTCTACTGAGTGTCTACCAAGTTTGTTCAAATAAAAGCCCTGGGGTCAAAATTGGCCCCGCCCCTGGGGGTCATTGATTTTCCCTATATGCATATAGTAAAAACTTAAAAAGTCTTCTTCTAAAGAACCGTAAGAGCTAGAGCTAAGATATTTGGCTTGAAACATCTTCTAGTGAATGTCTACCAAGCTTGTTCAAATAAAAGCCCTGGGGTCAAAATTGGCCCCGCCCAAAGGGGGGCATTGATTTTCCCTATATGCATATATAGTAAAAACTTAAAAAATCTTCTTTTAAAGAACCCAAAGAGCTAGAGCTAAGATATTAAGCATGAAACATCTTCTAGCGAGTGTCTACCAAGTTTGTTCAAATAAAAGCCCTGGGGTCAAAATTGGCCCCACCCAAAAACTTAAAAAATCTTCTTTTAAAGAACTCAAAGAGCTAGAGCTAAGATATTTAGCATGAAACATGTTCTAATGGGTGTCTACCAAGTATGTTCAAATAAAAGCCCTGGGGTCAAAACTGGCCCCGCCCGGTGGGGTCATTGATTTTCCTTATATGTGTATAGCAAAAACTTAAAAATCTTCTTTGAAAAAACCCAAATAGCTAGAGTTTAGATATTAAGCATGAAACATCTTTAAGTAAATATCTACAAAGTTTGTTCAAATGAAAGCCCGGGGGTCAAAACTGGCCCTTCCCCAGGGGTGTCATTGTTTTTAACTATATGTGTATATTAAAAACTTTAAAAATCTTCTTTTAAAAAACCCAATGAGCCAGAACTTAGATGTTTAGCATGAAACATCTTCTTATGGGTGTCTACCAAGTCTGTTCAAATAAACAAATAAAAGCCCTTGGGTAAAAATTGGGGTGGGGGGGGGCCTATATATAGGTGAGCGACCACAGGGCCATCATGGCCCTCTTGTTTTATAAACAAATTTAAACTTATTGTTTTTGTTTGTTTATTTTCTTTTTTTTTTTGGAAAAACCTTTAAAAATAAAATACTGATTCAATGTGAAGCAATACAAAACGTGCCCTGTAAAGTCAGACTTCCAGAGTATACTGGAACTCAAGTTTAGGATACATAGCAAAATTATCAGGGCTTCCATTTTCAAAATTTGGAAGTCAAAGACTTTAAAATCTCTGATATTGGAAGTCACATTATATTGGTAAAGAAGGAAAAGTATTAGATTTTCGGAAGTCACATGCCAAAATGAAGGAGTAAATGACTCCCAAACTTCCACTAGTGGAAGCCCTGAAATTAAAATATTTTCTAGGAGTCAATATTTTTCTTTCTTTATTTCTGTTGGCATGTAGCTTATTATGTGCTCCAGTTTGAACAATTATAGTTGAAATTAAAATTAAAGAAAAATAAACAAGATTTTTTATCTTTCCTTAAAAAAAGTATTGGTCTGAGAGAAAATTGTCAGTAACTGTAGACTGGGTACGAAAATATTGAGTACAAAACTGCAGGTGAAAAACATGTTATTTTGTTCCAACAACAAAAGTGAAAGAAATTAAAATATATTTTTGTTTATGTTGAGACATAAGCATGTCAATAGATGCCTAAACAAACTTAATACTGTGTTAACTCCTAAGATAATTATCTGGCAAAAATTTATATCAATAATTTCACAGGTTGATCTACGGGAGTTACCTCCCTTCTGTACTTCCTGCTACTTTCGTTTTTAACTTGCGTTGTTGACAACAGAACTTTTAGTTTTCAATGCAATAAAATGGCAATATATTGTATTTTTATGCTCAAAACATCCTCTATCTGAATATCATATGTTTACACTTCTATTCTTTTACGCTTAAATTTTGACATACAAGCGTATTTTCATTTTGTTGTGCGTAACTTTGACGCACAAATTTTGAAAGTGATGCGTATTTTAGATTTTCTATGCGTATATTACGCTTTTACGCATGCTATCTGGAGCTCTGGTAAGGTTAGAAATAGGATAAAATGCTAGGAATTAAAATATTATGTGCAACATAATGATAAATATTTGAAGTTTAATGATACAAATTATAGTAATTGTAAAATTGAGGTGGCAGATTTATCTGTCTTTCAGTGATGACCTTCTTGTCTCTTATAGTCTATTGTTAAACTGATGATCTGATGTTAAAAACAAAAGTAAACATTTTGTGGTCTAAAAAATTGTATGACTGACTTGATTTTCTTTCATGTTAAGAAAAAATTAATAATGAAATTCTGTTGTTAGAATCCCTGAAAACCCATGTACGAACTCACTCGATACAGATGCCATTTGTATGTGACAAGTGTGGTTCAGCGTACAGTCTGAAGAACAATCTCACCCAGCATATGAAGACACATGAGGATAAATTATACCAGTGCGGGGAATGTGATGTTCTCTTTAAGTAAGTTTATGAAACCAAGGATTTTTGGAAGGTTTTTAAAGCTGATCGGCAACAAAAATCTCATTTATAAATACATGTACAGTCAAACTTGTATTAAGCGACCGTGCAAGGGTTACACCCAAAACTGTTTCTTAATGAAGCGGTCTCTTGTTCTTAAGACAAAGCATGATAAAAAGTCATAATCTACACATGACATCTTTCTTTTGCGGTGGGAATGTTTTTCAACTTCATTTATATAAATGTTTAAATATTAGAACGCTACGATAATCTAAATGGATGTTAATGTAAAAAAATAACTTTCGGATATTTTTTGACAAATCAGTTTTGATACATTACGCACATGTTTGACATTTTTCCAGAATTTTTAAACTTCTCCGTTATATTTTCTTGTCTCCAACATGAAAACCCTGATAAGTGAAGCTTATTTCTGTTGTGCAGTTTTCATTTGAAATAAACAAACTAAATCTGATGGTATCGATTAATTTAATTGCTGATCAAGTTCAAGGTCAATTCAATGCAGTCTAAATATTAACAGCAGTCTAAATATTAAGCTATTAACAGCTAAGCGTTTACACCATCTAAAAAGGGGTGGAGTGTTGCATTGTTTTATCGCTATTATTGGATAATACACGTCACTCGTATACTTACCATTATTTGCATACACTTAAACGGTTTGGCAAATAGAGTTTTTCACACATTTATATATTGTGTTTTGATTGTTGACACTTGTGACATTACGAGGCGGCGTTCTCTAAAAGCACAATTACTTGACATGTAAAAGTGGTCCTATAATGAAAAGATTGATCTCAATTAGCTGACTAATAAGCGGTCGTTGGTTGCGTTGAGCAAAAGTCGCTTAATGCATTAAAGATATAGAGAGAAAATGAACGGGAGGATTTGAAAGTGGCCGCATAAGACAAAGTCGCTTAATACACGTGGTCTCATGGGCAAGTTCGACTGTATATTGTCTTATTTTTCAATAAGAATTCTTAATTGAATCATTTATGCCAAAGGTTAACTTATTCTTGTTGTAAAATTTGTGAATTATCTTTTTATACTTATAAGGATAATGGTGTTTTTTTTATGTTTGGAACTAATTTGGTGACCTCTCCACATGTAAATTCCCAATTTTAAGCATGTAATGCTAAAATTCCCAAACCCCAAAAGTCATCATGTGCTTCTCACCCTTTCAGACTATTTAATGATTATGTCTGGAATAACAAGTTAGTAGATAGCACATATAGTACATAATCAAAGAGCAGTCATTACGCGACAGTCTAGTAGTATGTGACTGGAAAGTTGTTAAAACTAGTTTTAAGCAAAGATAGATAAAAGTATATTTATGTGTTGATTTTTTTTGCTCCCACAATAGCCACTTTTCCGGATGGTGATGGGACATATAGGTTTGCCATTGTCTATCCATAGAGACAGACAAAACTGTGGAATGTTGAATGGAGCATATGTGTCCTTTGGACACATGTCTAGTTAAATTTGAAATGTTAGTGAATTTTCAGAACATTTGAATGAAACAAACAGGTCTAGTGAAGCCACTAGTAAAACTGAAAATTCACCATGTAAGAAAATTTCACAGTATTGAGGGCCTCTTATAAAAAACATGTACATAAAATACATGTATCATATCATTTATTACAACATGAATGAAAAGCATTTCAAGGAAAATACACTAGTATAAAACTTAAAAAATTTTAGGATGTTTTAGATAAATGAATTTGTAATGCTATTAGAAAACAGTAAATTAACTTTTGATTAAATATATCAGAATGGTATATGGCTTAAAATGTATAAAGGTATGTATCTGTCATTTACAAAATCATTGTTTTTAATTTGGGAAAGAATAATTCCAAACTACCTGTATAAAAGAAATTTGTATATTATATATACTTTACAAAGTTTATATATAAAGTGTATTGTGAATATTTCAGGTCACAGGTGAACTTGGAGAAACACCTAAGACTTCATACAGGTGCAGTCACTGTGTTCACCTGTGAGACTTGTAATAAGAAGTTCTCCCATCAGAAGAACCTTGTTCAGCATATGAAGATTCATCAGGGAAATAGTGGCAAACAGTTTAAATGTCCAGAGTGTCCTGCCGCCTATAGTTACAAGTGCCATCTGTCCAGACATCTTATTATACATACAGGTTTGTTTGCGTTTTTTTGAAATTTCATGGTTCAGTATGGCAGTTTGTTTGACTGATCTGTTTCTAAGTGGATGAACAATCTGTACCCACCATCTTTTTAGCATATGATTGATAAAAATAATAATATATCACAGAAAAGTCACACAAAAAAATTGACACACCACAGCTGGGACTCAAACCAAGGGTCTCTGAATTGCGGGTCCAGTATGCTAACCACTAATGCACCGCGGCCATTGAGTTTTCTTTGGGCTAATTAAGTTATTAAGCTAATGGAAAAATAAAAATTACTCTACTTAATTTCAAACATTTAGAGCAAAAGTATTTTTATTATTCCTGATTTTTTTTTATTGAAGTATTTTTAGCAGATTTTCTTACACTCATATGGTTTTTTTCTACAGAAAATTGCAAGCAAAATTGCTAAATACAGAATTCTCAGAATCTTCAAATATTGAACTTTGAATCGTGTATCTAATTTATATCTTCAATGATGCATAGTCATCTTACAGTTAAAGCTGAACAGTAATCATATACCATTAATATTCATTAAATATTAGAAACCTAAGGAAAATTATTTTAAAACACAATTTATTGTACAAAGTTCTTCACTGTTTGTCTCATGTATATCTGTAAAAAAGAAGATTAAACTCACTGCTTGTAGAAAAAGTACCAGTCTTTGTGATTTCAATTAGGTTACATAATTTTTGCAATAATTAATAATTTTATCAACATAGATAGGTTGTGTATCTCCATTTGAAGTCACGAGATATTCTCTTGATAACACTTGTAAAAATCCTGTTAAATCTTTGAATAAAGATGTCACTGCATATAATAAATCTGTATTTTATAATTGAATACAGATATATGCATGTACACAGTAATGCTTTTGATAAAAGCTTATTTAAGTAGTTATTTGATTGTTTGCAAGATGTGGCCACTGTCAGTAAAACTTAAATACAACTCTTATTATGTGTAATGACTATAATAAGATAGTGACTTCAAATTGCATTATTATGTGTAATGACTTTAATAAAGTAGTGACTTCAAATTGCAGCTATATCAAATTATTGACTGTTTTTAAAGCATTTGTGTTTAAAGTAAATAAGGTGACCTTTATATTTTTCTTACAGGAGAAAAACCTTACAAATGTAAGTTCTGTGGAAAAGCTTTTAATCGGAATGCTCATCTAATACGTCACAGAAAGATGCACAGTGGTGGCGAAAAAGAATGGAAATGTGAACATTGTGGCTTTGCGTTCTGGGAAAAGGGTGACCTTGTACGACATATAAAATCACACGAAGGAAACCGACCTCTAAAATGTGATTATTGTGAGCAGACATTCGTATGGAAGCGTTACCTATTGAAGCACTTAAACAATTATCATAAGGCAGATGACAAACATTTCTGTAAGACTTGTCTTGAATGTTTACCCTCGGAGGAGGATCTGGTGGAACACGAGGCTAACAATCACGCTAATAAGAGGGCACTGACTCATAAATGTGAAATATGTGAGATGGAGTTTCATTTTAAATATAAATTAGACGAGCATATGTACCAGCATACAGGCGAGAAAGCTCATGCTTGCGAGAAATGTCCAGAGAGATTTATTTCCAGAAAAGATCTGGACAGACACATGATTGATCATCAACAAGAGGTGTCGTTTCGTTGTAACACTTGCGAGAAGACTTTTTCTACAATAGATGAGCTACAGTCTCATGTCAAGTTGCACACAGGTAACGCCAAATATTCCTGCTCGCTCTGTCATGCCTCGTTTCGATGGAAGAGTCAACTGACTAGTCACATGGTCGTTCATTCTGCAGATCGTGACTTCAAATGCACATTCTGTGCGCGTAAATTTAAGCGCAAGCGGGACCTGATTCGGCATGTAAAGATTTATCATGATACCAAGCCGCCATACACTTGCACTGAGTGTAACAAAGATTTACACTCTCCTTATAACCTGATGTTGCATAAAACTGAAACGCACTGGAAAGAGACAGATATTGAACCAGGCAAATTTCCTTGTATCAATTGTACTGGGGTTTTTGGGCTTCAATCTGATCTTCAGAGGCATTTAGAAAAGGTTCATCCTCCCAGGCCTAACATTTGCATTTTGTGTATGAAACGATTCACTCTTTTCAAATTTTTTACAAAAACATTTTGAGACTAAGCATGAAGGTGTAGAAATGGAAGAAGGTTAGTAATTATGAAATCAAAGAAGAACCAAAAGTAGAAGAAACAACTGTAAACGGAAATTGAAAATGGTGAAAGTGCTGATAGAAGGGTCTAGAAATGGATGTTGACAATATAAGACAATAACCAAGAAGTAGAAATAATAGAAAATGACTATTTGAAGAACATGATGACAACCTGGAAAGTATTGCTAACAAATTCTGAAGGGGAATCACAGAACATGATTACAATAGAAGGTATGGGCCAACCTGTTGATGAAAGACTATCAGGCTGAAACTGTTGCTACCTCAAATGCAAAATAGAAATGGCTGTACCTATACCAGAAGCAATTACTCTAGCCCAGTTTTTCTCAACAAAGCTTCTCTGGGTGATGATATTATTCCAGTATTTTTACAAGAAAGTCAAAACATGGACCACCAACCTGCACAAGTTTTTGCAGGAGATGTCGCAGTTTTCCAGTTTCCGCAGTATCTTCAATGGCTCCAAATTTAAGAAATATTGTCAAGGTAATCCAACCTCAGGTTGTTTCCCTGTTCGCAGGAGGAGGTAACGTCCATGGCTAATTTCACAAATGGTGTCAGTTGAGACACCGGGGGGGGTTTTTTCCTGACTTTAGCCCAGAAAATTTTGAGCTTTTCAGCATTTTCCCGTCCAATCCGGCACTCCTGTAGTCCCATACCACAGCCCGCAGGTGCTACCAAACAAGGACAAAAACAACCCCAAAAAAATAAATTTCCCGTTTTAAACCGCTTCATGTTGTCACAATACCCCAACCTTTTGTTTACCTCTAAAAACCCCAAAAACCCCAAAATTGTTAAAAAACCATCCTCCTCAAAATACCCAAAATCTCAGCAACCTCACCCAAAAAACTGTACACTTTGGGCAGAGAAAGGCTAGCTGCCAAAACAACTGTGAAAAATTTTTTGATAAATAAAAATCAGGGGACAAACTAGTTTGGGGGTCTATTGTGGGACAGCAAAATAAAGGACCCAAAAAAACAGATTTTAAAAATTATATCCATTGGGGCTATAACCCTCAACAAATACAGACAGTGCCACTAGCACAGTTCCAGACTATACCAGGAGTGTCGATAGGTAATCTCGATGGACAGATTGTTACTGGTGCATTGAATACTCAAGTTGAACAAACTGGGATCCAAAATGAATGAAACTGTATAGAAAAAGTTTTATTTCTGTGAATTAATACATTTTTTTATGGAAAGAAATGAAATTGATGAAACTGTTTATTAATGATCCAACATCAAGTGTAGGAAAGATTTTAAGAAGTTATGAACAATTTGATAATAAGTAGATAAGAGATTTAGAAAAGAAATCAGAATGTTTTTACATGATAATAATCCTTACTGTAATTAACTACATGTACAAAAAATGGGTTATAATTTAAGCATCAAATATTCTTTGTCACTTTGTTTTTTTTTCCTTATTTTTTTTTTCTAAATTAATAATTTTTTATCCTGTAGATGTAATATTATAAATTATAATGTTTTATTAGAAGCAGGAGATTTCTGCACTTTCTTTCTGTAATTACAATGAATTATTTTCATAGTACATTTTACTAGTAGGTCTATACTTTCCAATTGTGCATAGTTCTAAATTGTAAATAGTTGTAAATCATTGTTATGTATATTTATGTTTACTCTGGGGGTTTTGTTTTCTTGTATATACATTTTGTTAAAGGCTTTATTGAGTGTATTGTTAAATGAATGCATACTTGTTTATAGGTGCTTGTTGATTATTACATTAACGATTTGTTTATTATAATGTTTGGTGGAAAGGGGATTGCAATTGCATACATGCAGGACTGATATCATCACAAAAGTTACCACATTTTAGCCCCACTTTCAAAAAGCAGAGTTACTTTCATGACCTATTTGTCAGTGTTGGCATCGAAGTTGGTTAACTTTCAGAATATGGTCTTTAATTTCAATACATGTACTAACAACCTTATAACAGTGAAACTTCATTTGTGGATATATCTTGATGTGTTCTTCTTAACATACATTTACCTATTTTCAGGTTAAAAGGTCAGAGTTTTTTTTTCAAAGAAAATATTAAAGCTATTCTCATCAAACTTGGTGCACTTGCTCATTATCAAGATGGGACATCATATTGCAAGGGCAGATAATCTTAAAACAATATTTTGCAACACACGCTCACTTTTTAACTTTGTTTTGGAATGTCATCATGACCATTACGGTGTTGATGTGACTTTAAAACCAACAAAAATATATTGAGTTTTTACATCTAGCAAAGCATGCTTTGCTTCTTTGTTTCTTTAGATACTGTAAACTCCAACTTGCCTAAGAGTAGCCATATTTTGTCAGCAAACACACATGTAATTTTCTTTTCTGGAAGTAGAGTTTGGTAAAAAAATATTATGAGCCACTAATGGATCATTATAGAAAGAAAATATTTTTTTTGATGTTAATTAAATGTAATCACTTAATACATGGAATAGAAACTTTGTACATAGATTTTACAATTGTTATTATCTTGCTAATGCTAATAAAGTAATCTCTAATTGTTAAGACAAATATATATATATTTGGAACTGACTAGGGTAAACTTGTGAACATTGATTGAAAACAATAAATGGTAATGAAGCATTTGAATGTATACTTTCTGTTGTTTTTTTTTCACACCTGAGCACAAAGTACTCACGTGTGAACTTTGTGATAGCATATTGTCAGTCACATATAGCATGTTGTCAGTCACCATTGTCAGTATTTGCTTAAAATTTCTTTGAGCAACATCTACTTTTAACTAAAGTACTTTACTATATATATATAACATCAATAATAAAATAGTAGGATTGTTTCCCTTGAGTTGAAGTTGAGTTTTTATATAAGATTCTACAAAGTTTAAAAAGAGAGAAATTCAATAGTATTATCTAACCAATAATGTAAAATGTTATTTATGCCAGACCTATTTTTCATGTAATGTTAGAAAAAGAATCCTTTTCAGAAGTTATTACATTACAATATTATCACAAAGGAGAAATCCGATTATAACATTGATACATATAACTCAAGGGATACAACTCCTACTATTTTAATATTGATGTTCAATTAAGAGTTGTACTTCTAGTCGTGAATACTGTATGTATTAATGAACAATAAAGGCAGTTGGTGCAGCCGAGTGGATCAAGCCTAAATAAATGATCTTAAAACATTAGTCTTCATCTGGCAGCAATGAAACATATTTGCCCCATTAATTGTTAAACTGTAAAACCTTATTTTTTGTATTATAATTTATAAATAATAATAACCCATCTTTCCATTTTAACTCAGCAGTAGATATTGTATTTGCTTTTTAAGAATGTAAATTTGTCTGCATCCCTTCTTTTGACTTTTGATTAATTTAATCAGTAAAGGCTGAATAGGCATTCCTCTTTCTTAGCCAGGTGCCTAAAGGCATTTTATTTAAACATCTAATAGACTACAATTTTGATACTCTAAAAATTGGTATTTATATCAAACCTAATAAAAAAATCATCAAATGATAGGAAATTACCTCTATTGTCTCTGAAGTCATTAAACAAAGAAATGTGGCAATTTACATATCTAGGAAATCAAACAGTAAAACCACCCATTTTAAACATAGAGTTATGCCAAACAGGAAGTGAGTAGAATTCACTCCAATTACTAGGGTACAGTTTATGCAACTGTATGAGACCTGTTAAAACATCCTTCCAAAAGTTATTTTTCACTGTCTGAAGTTTGTCAAAAATTGGTCTGCATATTTTCTGATACTTGATAGACAAGGGTAGCCCGGGGTTCTAGGATATCACGGTACTTATCTTCAATGGGAAACTATTTAAATTTAAATATCATATATGAATGAGATTTTTCTTTTATTCAATAAGTAAACCTTTCGCAAAGATTTATTTCAAAAGATCCAATTGAAATATTTTTTAAACTATTTCAATTGTCTGCCATTTTGGGTCATTTCACAGAAGGTTACTACGGTATCCCTTAAAAATGCAAGTATGGAAGGATAGATGTGTCGTAATATTCAAATTAAGTTGTGAAAAACTTTCATAGTCAAATTGAGCTGAATTGACTTGATATTTCAAAAGATTGACTGTCAAAATGGTGTTTGACCAACAGTTAATACTAGAAAATGTTTAGGATAAAATTATAAATCTGCCTAAAATTTTAAAAGGCTGCCCCATTCTTTTTATAAAATAAGTGTTATAGGTAAATTCTAATGGATCTTTACAGAAATTTCATTTCGATCTGTGCGTTATTTATTGTTTATGCGAACTTAAATATTAAATTGAAAGGATTTATGGCAAAATGAAAACTTATTTTGATCTTCACCCGTTCACTCACCATATACCCTTGGATGGGCATGTCACTTTAACTTGCTATAAGATTCAAACTATATAAACAGACGATGTGTCAGATTATAACATATTTTAATTGTCTGTGTAAAAACGTTTAAGGGAAATTGTAGTCAAATATGAAGATTTCATAAAATAGTTTTCTTACCACAAATAAATTCATTACTCACAAACTTAATTTTACTGGCAATTGCTATGCAATAAAAAGTGACAATTTTAAAAATATAAGAAATGTCATGTGTTGCTTTTACTAGCAGTCGCAGAAAATGTAAATACCATCATAGAACCCGTGATATCATAGGAACTGAGTATACATAATGTCATATTATTTTCAAAATTAAAGTATTTAGTATTATACATAAATAGTCTTCATATCCATAACAATTTTAAAAGACATTATGAATGTCTCTAAATTGATCACTCTGAGACCCCCATTTTCATAATTCTGTATAACATTTCTTTTTATTTTATCTGGTCCTGACTTCCATTGGAATTTAAAGAAGAAGTTTTGTATAGCTTTAATTGTTTGTATATCAGGATTTGGCAAACTAAGAATGAGGTGGTTTACTTTTAGTAAGGCTGATGACTTAATTACAACATTTTTACCAGTAGGTTTAATAA